TCCGTACCCACTGTATATTGGCAACAAACACTTATTGCACACAACGTAGCAATAAGAGAATTGTTTAATAGTATATCCATAGTTTTACCTCAATGAAAGTACATAATGAATAAGCAACAGTTTATGTCCTTTTAACTTTCTTGTGTGACAAAAATCTTGAATGTACTTTTTGTTTTTCATAAATACCCTAAAGCATGACTGTGACTGGCTGCTAACATAATGGCGGACATCCACAGGAGCATGTGCACGAAGCATGTCAATTATCTTAACCAACCGTGCAGCTAGCAACCCTATTAGCTGACTCCCTGAGCACCATGGGAGTGTTAGTGTTGCTGGCACAGTAAACTCAATTTAGACTGTAAAATCTCTTTTCTTCTCTCATCGTCTTTTTCTCATTCGCTCCCTTCAGCACTCCGCACCAGTTGCTCAACCCCCGCCTCGCTAGCTTACAACACACACAATACAGGAAACCAACACGCTGTTGCATTGCATTCAGGAACCAAAATGGGTCGTGTGGGTATTCTTGAGGTCTAACAAACATGTTTCATACATTTACTTCCTCATAAAACATTGCAAAGCCAATTTTTCCATAAAAGTTCAGAGCGTGCAAACTGCGTTATGTACTTGCGAGCAGTCTTCTTCTGCTGACGCATTGATGCTTTTATTGGCGCCTCCTGTGGATTAGGGGTGGGGGGAAATGAGGAATGATTCACGCAAGAATAGCGATTTGGTTCTGAACTTCCAAAAATAATTTTTTTATACAAGTTTTTTTTTTTACCATTGTAAGTACGGTTTAAATTCTCCGGGCCTCCTTAAAACAGTTGTAGCAAACAGTCTAGCAACTGGCCTGTTGGTTGCCGCTTATGTTAGCCCTGTTAGCGCCTGTTTTTATTTATTTTATGAAAACAAAGTGGTGGAAAACTCCACCACGTACCTTTTTTTATCAGCCTCTTACAATGGACGGCTCGGGGAGTTGATCAGTACATTTTATTTAGAGCTGTCATGTTTCTTGTATTTACTGAGACAACCTAAACTTGGCCTTGTGTTGTTTAGTTTGATTTGATGCCAAATTGCTTTGTGTTTTTTTTTATGGAGGAAGCGTCTTGGGAGAAAAGTTACTGTTTGGAGAAGGTGTCACACAGCTATCTGAGCACATGTGTCCCATCTGATCCTGGGGAAAAGACTCTAGGAGAAGAAGGGAGAGAGGGTATTAATGGTGTTACATAAGTTAAGAGTGGCGCTGAGAACAGAACGAAATAAAAAAATTGATGGGAGGTAATAAAAGGTCAATATGAGATGCACAAGAAAGGCCAAGGGAGCTACAGACATGAAAATAATAATGATAGAGGTGCTAAGGAGGAACAGTGGATGAAATGAGGTGAGAAATTAGTAGGCAGTAGGAAGCATGGGAGGAAATGGAGGGAGAAATTAAGAAGGTATGGGTGCATAGATCGAAAAATAGGACAGTGGAACAGATGGGAATGTAAAGACAAAAAAAAAAGCAATCCTTCATGTTCTCTTCTCTAGCTGTTACATTTGCTTCTTTTCTGAGCACTTCAGACTTACGTGATTGTTATTCTCTTGTCAAGGGAAGGATCTGTCTTTCTCACTATTTACTGTTTACTTGAAATGATAGATATCTAGGAGTTGACGTCTCCGTGCCAAAGATCGTCACACATGTTTGGAATGTAAATGTAAAAATGTGTAGGAAGGGTCGAGGAGAAAGGGGAGTTTGAGATAAAGAGAAGAGGGAGGGATGGACACTGAGATGTAAAGAGGGGCAGGTCCAATGGGCGGCCGACAGTGGGGTGTCAACCTCCTAAACCTCTGTATGGTATAAAATGAAGCATGCAGAGCTCGTTCGGCCTTTGCTCTAGTTGTGCATCTGACCAGAGAAAAGAGGAGTCCTTTGTCCCTGATTGAACTCAGCTATAAGTAAGTTTAGTTAAGGTTTTTTTTAAAGATTAACAGGGGCAGAAAATCTCATGTTTTTTACATTTAAAAGAAATTCTGTACTTTGTGAAGTGGGGCATGTGTTTCACAACTGTAATGCAACTTCACCAGAAAGTGGCAAAATGTCTTTGCCACTTTGTTGAGCTTCAATGTTTTAACCACTCATTGTTCTTGTGGCTGGTCGGTCTTCCTCTGTAATGACTAAGACATGTTCAGAATACAAAAAAAATCAGGAAGGTGATTTATTAGTCTGTTTCTATCGCTGGTGCTGAGTTTGGAGCTAACTTTAAACTGAACCTGACAGTTTTAACTGAATTGGTTAGTTGTATTTTTTTCTGTTCACATTACATTATGCAGCCCATCATTCAATTGCTGCCCTTAAATGAATGAGCCCATAAAAAATATAGAAATATAATAAATATAGAAAGGAGAGACATACGCAGGCTGCTGCTGCTGTGTGTGTGTATATGTGTGCTGGCACACTAAATGTTTTCCATGTTTGACACATGTTGTTATCTGTGTATTTCAGACCTGGTTGCCACCCTGATTAAAACCCTGACTGAGCACGTGCCTCTGGCAGTTTGACGAGAACCATGACGGCCATCAACGCACCTCGGGACAAGTAAGAGAAGCTCTTTAAATCTATTATGTGCAGAATATGAGATTTGGATGAGATCCATTGAATAAATTGTTGATATATGAAGTTGAATGACTTCATTGATGTCGTTTCATGTGAACTTCCTTTTGCCTCTTTCCCAGATACAATGCAGTGTGGATCATTTTCTTCATCCTGGGCCTGGGAACCCTCTTACCGTGGAATTTCTTCATGACGGCAACGATGGTAAGTTAAGCAACATTTTAGGACAATTGTATCCGTCTGAATGTGAGAATATTTGCAGCCAAATGTAGTTAACCCATTGGAACAACAGACAGATGGAGGTCAAAGGAAGAGCCCTGTTGGTGGCCTCGTGGTTAGTGACTACTTAATTAAAAGGTTGGGCTCCACTGAGAGAAAGGTCACCTAACTTAGAGAAAACAATTTTGTTTGTTTACCATTCCTTCCACAAGCACCTGGTTTCACTCAGGATGGCTGACCTTACTCAGGCCCGGTGGATTTCCACGTCAGTCGTTCAGCCTCTTTAATCCCGAGCCATTCTTTTTGAGCTTTAAGGGGTTAACTTCTTAAAATGTGGAATTTAAATTTCATTATCCTGGGGGAGTTGATTTGGATGCACCCTTAGGGGGGATTTCGGTTGAAGCTCAAATACCGTATAGTGCTTATTTGTTTTGACAAAAGTTGGAAAGCACTTTGATGTGTAGATAAGATGCGCTCTAAAGACATGAACCAGAAATATGGTAATACTTTGAGTATGTGGCCACAATCTAGAAATACAAAAGCTTTCTTAGGCTAGCTTGAAATGCATTTTCATTTTAATGCACTGTTCCATTTATAGAAATTTATAGCATCACTATATATTCATAGATTGAGCCATTTTTGTATTTTTAACTTAAATGTGTGTTTAATTTGTGCACCATTTAAAACTGAAAAGCGTTTATAAGGTTTCATCCAAGCGACCTTTCACCTCTTTTTGTAAGGATTTATTCATATGACACAAAGTTGTGAATATGAATTTATTTACTGTTGATGTGCAAGAGCTAATAACCATTGTAAAAAAAAATGTGCATTCCTCCATCCTTTTCTTAGTATTTCACAAGCAGGCTGAAGGACCCACCCACTGACCTCTTCTCCAATCAGACGACAAATGAGACGTCCAGTGCGGGCGGGGACACTCGCACTGTGCTGGAGTCGAAGTTTAACAACGTAATGACGCTCTGCGCCATGGTACCTCTGCTCATTTTCACCTGCCTCAACTCCTTCATACACCAGAGGTATCCACGCTGCTCCGTACTGACATATACTTATGTAACTTTCAGTCTCTTGTCTGCCATGTACACTTCCCCACCAACACCAAACAGTGAGTTATAGCCTAAAGGGCAAAATACATATATTGTTTTCATGAGTAATTTGGAGAGAACACAGTAAGTTCACAAAGTGAAATTTGAGTTTATTTATTACAGATAGAAATGGTAAAACAAGACGTTACATTCAGAGAAGGAACTTAATTCTGCACCTTTACTTTCCAACTTTCTCTGCCTACCCTCCTGCTTACTAGTACCCCCATGTCACCCCATACCACTAAAGGTAACATGATCCTGTTCTGTGAATCTATGTCGGTGTGCCTCCAGTATGTTTGCTTTAATCAGAGTTGGATTGAGAGAGATCTTGGGTGGACCCCGACCACGGCCAACTCTCCCCCTGCACAAACACACCCAAGAATGCTATTTATGTTCTTTACTTCCCCCACCATCTTAGTCTTTACCTCTCTCTGCGTCTCTTCCAAACTTTGCCTCTGTTCTTTTTCTCCCGCTGTCCCACGCTTCCTCAATATACTCTTTATTTCTGATGACCTTTTTTGTCTATTTTCATCCTGTTTTTCTCTCCAAAAGACACGGTTTCCTTTTCTAATAAACAAAGCGCTGCTCATTGTGAATTGACCCAACGCACTCTTATTTCCCGCTTTCTGTTGGAAAGGCCTCAACTTGACCCTCTTGTCATAATGTCATTACCATAATTTTTTTTAAAATTTGTTTTCAACAATGAGTCATAATCCACTGTTCCATATTTCCCTCTCTTCTTTCTCGTGTCAGATTTAAACAGGTATCTTGTCTTTCTCCTGCTGACAAACTGACTGTGGCTAATGTTCTTGAGGTGGTTTGGGTTGGTTGCGTAGAAACAGACATCATATGTAGTAGTTTAAATTTAATTTCTCTTTGCTGTGTGTGACTCAGGATTCCTCAGAAGCTGCGGATCTCTGGCAGCCTGGCAGTCATCTTCGTGGTCTTCCTGTTGACGGCCGTGTTAGTGAAGGTGGACGTGGCCCCACTGCCCTTCTTCACCCTCACTATGATCAAAATTATCTGCATCAACTGTGAGTTTTTAAACTAACGATAACTGATTGTGCGATACTTCAGCAGTCGCTGCAGATAAGGTATCTTTGCCTACTCAAAAAGAAAGCTCAAACCTATATCAAACTGATCAGGTTAGTCAGAACAAAATTAAGTAATGGAACAAAATAAAAAGGGAAACCTAACAAAACAGAAGACACACCGAGTAGCAGAGACACTAACCATCAATCTAAACGAGTCTACTAGACACAGTGAGCATTAGACTTTTGGTGTGCCAGGGGAAATTTAGCCTGAGAGTCAAACTGAATTGCCATATGTTTAATTCATTAAGCCTGACACTGTTTTTATAGTTAGTCATTTTCAGTTGACACAGAAGCTGTGGTAGTGGTTGCTAGGAGCAGTTAACTCAGCTCAAATATGAGTAGGGCTGCACAATTAATCGAGATATTATGGAAATCACAATAAAGCCAGGTGCAATATGCAAATGAAGAAGCTGTAATTTTTTTACAAAGTACTGCTGCATCTCATCTGTACTCATTTACTATGAAAGTAGTTAGGTAGTGCGATTGTTTTGAGAAATATTGCGATATTAGTCACAATTCTCATTTTCTCTGAAAAAAAAAGATTTGCAGGCCAGGGCCTTTCCATGCAGCACTGCAGTGCTTTATTATTATATTGAATTTTGCCATATTGTGATTTTTGATTATATTGATTAATTGTGCAGCCCTAATCGCTGAACAAATCTTAGAAGTGTGTGGTGATTCAAGGAAAAAATGCCTTTCAAGGTAGAAACGTTGGGCAGGCCAAGAAAAAGTGATTGTTTAAGTGTTTGTTTTCATACAATAGACCTGTAACCAATGCTACTTTCATATAGGTCATAATGTTTCGTTTTGTTACAGCTTTTAGAGATGTTTAATTTATTTACTCTGTTCCTCAGAAACTGTGGATCTCAGCAGCTTGACCTTAGACCCCATTTATATCAATGATGGTAGACTAAATATTAGAAACGCCTCTCAGTATACCACAATACAGTTCCACAGCAACACCATCTAAAGCCTCCAAAATAACTATAAAATTGAATCAAGGTTATAATCATTGAACATGATTATAACCTTAATGAAGGTACTGCAGGGCTGTTGTATTAGACTGCATTACTACTTATATACTTAAAGGGATTTCCCATTATATAATTTTAATGTTAAAATCATCCAAATGATTATTTCTATGTGTTTTCTCCGTCTTTGATCAACATCATCTGCATCCACTGTGTTGGGAAAAATCCTCCACTTTCTCATACCACACTGAGCTTCAGAACAGAGTGTGTAATCTCACAGGGTTGTTTATTTACAATGATTCACTCAGCAGCGGGGATAAGCTCACCCCCTCTTTATCCCTGCTGGGCCAGCCCTGACCCCCAGGTCCTCATGAAGAACAGCCCATCGTGTTTGATTTAGAGAGGAGGACGCAGTGACCTTGAAGCTTTGATATCGACGTCTGCTCATTCCTCTTAGTGGACGCATGTTAGGGTTTTTCTGCAGCTAAAGGTTACGTTGCACCATGTCGCTTTTAGAAAGGGTGTCATCTCTCCTTGTTTCCGACAGCGAGGGGCCTCTTTTACTGTTGCTGTGGGGGCAATGTGTTTGTTCTGTGTCACAGTGACTCTTTAAAGGGTACAAATTCTTAAACATCCCTGTCCTGTTTTTCTGTGTCCCTCCCCAGCGTTCGGGGCGATTCTTCAGGGCAGTCTGTTCGGGCTTGCAGGGATTCTGCCTGCCTCCTACACCACACCCATCATGAGTGGACAGGGGCTGGCTGGAACCTTCGCTGCTTTCTCCATGATCTGCGCACTGGCCAGTATGTCTCACACACAAAGCACTAGTTCGCCTCTTCTATCATTAGAATAGAATAGAATGCTTTTATGGTCACTATACACATGTACAATGAGATTAAAAGAATGAATTGATGCTCAGGTGGTGGAGAGAACTACCAGACAGCACCCCTACCAGTGCTGAACACTTTTTAGGAGGTAGCACTGGTGCTAGACAAACAAAATACAGCACATTTCCTGTCTACTACGGTGCCATTTCTAAAATATGTGACTTGCACAATTTGTAATTTGAACTGCTAAGAAAATAGTGACTGTGTAGCTAATACGTGAAAAGTGAAAGTTTGAAAGACTCACACAAATATTTGTTCAATATTAAATGTGTTCAGTGATAAATTTTGTTTTGGTAAAAGGTCAGCCAAATGTTTAATGATTAACAATAACGTATGCTGGCTGCTCTTAGAATTTGACCTTCTTGACATTATTATGAAAACAGAATTAGTTGCTTAGAAGTTCCTTTTGGCACGCGGGATTGTTCCTGTCAGATGTTCTCTAGAGGACATAACTCAGACATGGTTATGCAGTTCGATCACATCTAACATGTAATTAATCAGTTTTCTTGGCTTTTAACTACAGCAGGCTGCATCAAATTGGACAAATCTCACTTTCTTAGTCCCTGTGATGGACTAATGGTTTACTGAGTCATTGACTTCAACGTTATGGTCCCTGTAGAAGCTATGCAGAGACATCACACAGAAATACACACACATATAATCATAAAGTTCTTCAGCGTGCTGCTAGTACAGGAGTATTACTGTGTTCATGTTTGTATTGGTACAGGATGATCTTTTCATAAGAAATGCATCCTGTGTTCACCGTACAGTCTGTATGGATTGAGCAGATGGTGGGTCTTAAAAAGTCTAAAATCCAATCATCTGAATTTTAGGCCTTAAAATGTCTTTTGACAGGTCTTAAATACTGAGTGGGTTTTGTAGGAACACAAAATAAATTAATAATAAATAATATTTTTTTAACTTTCTTTAATGAAGCTGCACATGGTGCTGGTACAGAAAAAGTACTGAACATAGACCTACACATTTGTAATAATAATAACATTATTCTATCAGGGTTGAGAGGATTACTTTAAAAATGTAATCTTATTACCTGTTGAACCTTATCCAAGTATCACAATAATAAAGTAATGTAACTTTAAGTTACTTTTTGATTACCTCACACCAAATATGTAAATTAAGAAAAGAGGAAAATAATATCAAGAAGTACTGATGCGAGTATATTCTTAAGACAACAGAATAATGTAACTTTTGAAAAGAAAATGAAAACAGAAAAATGGAAAGATTTTAAGAATCAAACCTGTATTTTTAAACAAAAACTGATGTATTTTAAAATTGTAAAATGTAAATGTAATGGATGCTTATTACGTAACTCTGTTACATATAATCTATTACTCCCCAAATGTGATTACTATTGATTGATTATCAGCTGATTGCCTTGGGTTGAAAGCTTTTGATATCATTGAATAGTATCGTATTATTTTGAATATGGCGGCATTGAAAAAGTATCAAAGTATTGATACTTTTGACAACCTTGTTATAAACAAATCAATAAATTGATTAATCAAGAATGATTTGTTGATTGATAGTCAAAAAAATCATGATTTTCAGCCCTAGTGAAATGATATAATCCAGCAGTTGGAGTTTACTGTGAGCCACAAGAACAACAGTTAAATGTGTGAAATCAATGCTCTTGATACCAATGATTGTGTGTGTCTCTCTAGGTGGATCAGCCCTGCAGGACAGCGCTTTTGGTTACTTCATCACAGCCTGCGTTGTCATTCTGTTGGCCATATTGTCCTACCTCACTCTGCCTAGGATGGTAAGACCTCATATTCTCTGAACTAAACATTATTCTTAAAGAGTGAAATTCTTTCAAGTGTTTTCTGTCATGAGGATGTTTGTTTAAAACCACTTTCACACGTGTCCTCATGTTGGGGCAACATTTTATGGAAAGCAGTTTGTAAACTTGAGATAAGTGCTGAGTGCTTTAAGATAAGGACTTTTAGAAAGATGATGTATGATGTCATTTTTTTATATCAGTCCAGAGTGTGTGAGGGGGTAGAAAACACTGCCAGTGTGAATGTACAGCATCTCAAGGAACATGGTGTCCTCTCTGTATTCTTTATGTTTGCTCTGCCAGCTCAGTGGAATTGGCTCATTATGGATTTTGTTTGTTTGTTTTGTCAACAGGAGTTTTTCCAGTACTATATGGAGAGTAATAGATCCAGACCCTCTGCTGATGAGGAGAACAAGATGGACTTGCTCAAAAAAGGTACATACATTGCTCACTGCTCAGATATTCTGGTTCCTATTTCCAAAAATGAATAATTATTCATAAGTTGAAGATGTACATTGATTGAACAACGATTGCAGTTAGCAAGCTCTGTGATGGGAGGTTTTTTTAATAGAAATCTTGGGGATTGTACTTCTGTTTGTTACGTTTCAGGCAGAAGAGAAACCAGACATTTTATAACACAGTTGCACATCTGTTGCACAGGTGATTCAACCCAGAGAGTTTCATGTCCATCCAAATCTCAAAAGGGCTCCAACTGCGAGTCTGCTAACATTGTCTGTGCAGAAATATAGCAGGACGTCTGGAAAAAATATAACACTATCATAAGAAGTTAGAATCAACCAAAGATAATTCGACTGACCACTGTGATCCTGTAGTGTTAGTTACTAGTGTGTGAGTGATGTAATGGGAATCGTATGTTATATAACAATTGAAATCTCGTGTGTACACTCACTCAGATGTGGGAAGGATGGGCCATGTGCCTCTTGAGCAACAATAATGATAGACAGCTGTTTGTTTGTCTCTCAGAGAGTCCAGCAGAAAAGCGGCCGGTGGTGAGTCTGGTGGAGGACGAGGCCAAACCCAGCGTGTCTGTGGTAAACATCTTCAAACAGGTGAAATAACTTTCTCACATTGTAACATATGAATACAAAGGGATCAAAATGCATCATAGATTTGTCAGCAGCCCAACAGTCTGTTATATATAAATATACGCACTTATAGAAGCTGACATTTTTACCATTTAGTAGTAATAGTAGATGTTAAATCTGTCATTCAACATCCCGTCAGCAGTTAGAGATAATCAGCTCCTGGTTACAAAATATTGATTAAGTTTGACTTGTGCTCTGTGATCAGATCTGGGTGATGGCTCTGTCAGTGTGCTTCATCTTCACCGTCACCATCGGAACATTCCCAGCCGTAACAGTCGAGGTCAGGTCCACAGTAGCGCAAGAAGGAGACGCCTGGGGTGAGTCTCCATTTCCAGCCTCCAACATCTGTACAAAGCTACACTGCTACAGTAACTCTGATAATCTGTCATCTGGGAGGGAGGACCCTGTTAAAACATGATTCCCGCAGCTTGTTTGAGAATATTTTTGTTTCCCAAAAAGAAGATGGAAGATATTTAGCCCCTAACCTCACACAGTAAGATGAAGTGTTTTGTGGGGTGAGAATTAGAAAAGTTGCAACACAATCCAAAATAAAAAAACACATCATTTTTCCTATTTATGGTTAAAAGGGGAAAACTGTCTCCAGTTAGGGTTGGCTGGCCACCATCAGCCCAACAAGCGCAGATTGCGGCCATATTTGCGCAGGCATAAAAACACCCAAAATAACAACCGGCGATGTGCTCAGCTAACCCTGGTCTCCAACAGGCAAAGATGAAATCTGTGAGGCACAAATGTGTTGGAAGGCTTTTAATTCAACAGTAAAACTGGACTCTTTGTCTTTTTTGGTATTTTTTAGACTTAGACTTAGTTTTGCTGTCTTTGCAGATCTATTTAGTGTAAATTGAAAATTCTGTATACATGGATTTATATATAAATGTGAGAGTTTTAAACCTTTAAGCACATACACCTTATCCCTTTAGGCTTGCAGTGTAGCTCTGAAAAGTTTGGAGCTTTTGCGGCACAGTTGTCAGTTTGGATTCACACGACCCGGAGTCACAGCAAAAAAGTAGCTTGAGATGTTTCTAAGGATGATTTGATTGGATACCACTGGAATAAAGTAACGGCAGTGAACCCAAACACAGCTGCCGTCCTCCATGGAGGAGAAAGCTACAAACTTTTCAGCTTCACCTTTCAGGCCCACAGAGGATGGGTACTTGATCTATGTTTTCTTACAAGCAAAGACCTCAGCAGGGTTGTTGTTTTTGTTTTTGTTGTTGCTGCTAACAACAGCTTGTTTGTTTTGGTCCCTCTTCAGGAACATACTTCATCCCGGTGTCATGTTTCCTCCTCTTCAACTTAATGGACTGGGCTGGCAGGAGTCTGACGGCTGTCTGTATGTGGGTCAGTAACGACACAAATAACACGTTTTACCAACGGGGCTTGGCCTCTCTAACCCGCTCTGCAGGTCTGGGCTTCCTCTTCGGGTTCAGAGCCAGCATAAGTAGTTCACAGGCTTAGTCCCAACTAGTTGTCAAGTTTCCTGCTGTTTTAATGGATCTATTCAGAAGAAATTTGATCACAAATATTGTCTTAACTGCCTGGTGGTCTCTGGTCTTTGTGGATACAGCTAGACTAGTGAGAACCCTACGGTCACTTTTATGCTCACTGCCACTAATAACGCCTGTAAAATACTGCGGGAGCGTATTTCAAAATGTAGCGGGACAAAGACCAGTGTTTAAACGTCGCTACCTCACCTGTCAACAAATCCTGTTCCCTAACAGCACTCTGGTTTACAAACACTTTTGCTTTATGGAATCTATTTAAAATTACCAAAGCTAAATATTTAGTATGACGTGCTGTTGTCTGTATGGTGCGATGGACAACAGACACACTTGTTGACACTTTCATGAAACCCTTTGGCAGCATTAAATGTTGACACGCTAATAAATCTGAGGCATGATGAGTGTAATGGTGGAAAAACATCAGTCAGTTTGTTTGTTTTGGACAAAAGTGTGTGTCTGTGTGTGTGGGTGTGTGGGTCTGGGGTCTCATTTATAAAACTGTGCGTGGGATCGTTACTAAAAGTGTACGTACGCCCAAAAGCCAAGTTTTGCGTGCGCCAAAAAATATTCAGACTTATAAAACCCTGCGTACGCAACGCACAACCTGTAAGCACAATCTTTGCTTTATAATCCACAGAGTGCCTACAAGTGGCGCAGCTGAATCGCCTTTCACGTATCCCGCCCTGTACACGGGCCCTTTTTTTAACCATAAGATGGTCCCAATGCAGAACGACCTCATTGGGAATGCGCACTCCATATAAAACAGACTCAGACCGCAGAGTATTATGGTCTTTTCTCGGAAAACAATGGAGGAAGGACGGAGAAAGGCAAAAAAGCGAAATTTTCACGGGAGGTTGACAGTGGAGACCCTTGTGCGGGTGAAGGTGGAGCCCGAAAGTAGTTTTGTTCGGCAGTCCGCGGGCTGGATCACTAAACCGAGAAACAGCAGAGTGAGCGCCAGCAATGTTGCTGCCAAGCAGTGAACTCTTGTCATACAGTGTTCATAAAAATATTATGTTATTGAACACATGTTGGACAGATGCTTTATTCCATGCAGGATCGCGCCCTGCTGTCCTCTCCTCCTCCTGCGCTCCGGGAGTGGACAGTATGGAGTGACGGGATTAAATATAGAGAATTTTGATTTTGAATTTTCATTTCGATTTCGATC